CCCCTGAACCCCCCGGCGGGGGCGCCCATCAATCAGCGCCTCGAGAGAGAGACACAGCGGACCCCCCGGCCCGCCCCCGCCCCACTCCCGTTCCGAGCATTCCATTATGGAACGGAGAGGGTTTCCCAACGTTCGGAAGGAACGCCGTCCAACCAATGAGCGAGCAGCACCGACCCGGCTGCGGTCAGAGTCGGGGGCCGGGCCCCGCGCCGCCGCCGCGTTTTTCACCCACGTGCCTTTCACTTTGATCTCCTCCTCCTCGCCGTCGTCCTCCTCCTCCGCCTCCGCCTCCTGCGTACATTTCTCGTTTCTTTCGGTTTCCTTTCTTCCCGGCGCTCGAGGGCGGTCCCTCAGTAGCGATGGCGGCGTGGATGAGGCCGGGGAGGGAGAAAGATCAAGCCAGCGAAGGGGAGGAAGAGGAGGAGGAGGAGGAAGGAGAAGAAGCAGGAGGTGGTCTTTGGGAGTACGATTCCACTTGGGAGGAGGAGGAGAAGGAGGAGGAGGAGAAGGAGGAAGGGCGGCGGGAGAAGAAGGAACGAGAACCGGCTTCTCAAGCCGCTCACCTAGAGGAAGCCCGAGAAATGCACAGCTGGTGGTCGCCCAGCTCCAAGTGGGCCTCCGCTAGCCAGGTGAGAGGTTTGGGGGAACAAAGGGCGCCCGCACCGCGTCGCGAGGCAGAGGGTCACGGGGGGATCCTGGGAGCTGAACGGAAGGTCCGCTTTCCTCCAGAGGTCTCGGACGCCCGTTTCCCACCGACCCCTGGCACCTGACCTGTCAGCGGATGGGGGGATCTGATGTCCCGCACATCTGGAGGGGGCCAGGCGAGGGGAAGCTGTAATAAGCAGGACTCGCGTGATCTGACTCCCCCCCCGCGTCCATCCCCCCCCCTTCCCACTCACCCACTCTTTTCTGCCCTATTTCTCCGTAACCCTTAATGAAGAAGACTGTGGGAAGGGAGATAATACTGTCCTCTCAAAAAGTTGTGAAGATGCCAAGAATATCAGGAGAAATAAATGCACTGAAAAAAGACTTTCCAAATTGGGACGCACCCTCGATTTGGGACTGGGATGGTTAGCCGCAAAAGCAGACCGCCGCTAGAGGGCAGCAAAGAGAATGAATGGTATGTGCTGCCCTCTAGTGGGCATTTGGAGTTGTGCAGCCTGGATTCCGTAGCCCAGTGTTGTCCAAACTTGGCCGCTTTAAGATGAAAGCCTTCGACAGTACACTGGGAATTAAACTTCTCAGTGCTGTTCTAATGCATTTTTGTAGCCTATGGACCTCTTACTTTCTATCCGGAAGTGCTACTTGGTTGGATGTGAGATACTTTGCTTCCACCCTTTTTGAAAGTCAGTATTTTATTTGTGTTTCATTTCAATGCTGCCCAAATGCTTCTGCACACCTCCTAGGAGAGAGAGAAAGAAAAACAAAGAGATGGATTAAATCCAAAGTCTAAAGGCCTACATACCGACATAACCTGGTGCTCAAGCAACTGGGGACACAGCTTGGAAAATTAAACTCTTTTTCCTACCGACAGAGAGGTGACTTACTAGAGAAGACATGTTCCAGCAAAGAAATTCAGGGTTCGATTCTTTTTCTGCCATTCCCAGCTGGCTAGTAACCTTCAGGCTAGTCACTCTTGGGGGTTGTTTTCCTGACAGCCAACTAGTATCATGAAAAAGGGAGGAAACATTGAAGTTCCCAGAACTTTTCCCAGTAAGACAGAAATGGGTCCTTGAAAGTTCTACTTTTCTCTCTTGCCTACAAGCCTCCCCTGTTGAGTTTTTTGTAGCCACGATCCCCCAAAATGAATATAGCACTCTCACCATTTTTAAGTGTGGTTCAACACTGTAGTGATAGTGCTAAAAGAAGGTGGCAGGATCATTTAAAAAAAAAATAAAGAACCCACCTCCCAGGGAGGTTTTTATTTTTTGCTTTCTATCAATGACAGTGTCATCCATTTTCATACCTGTTCTAAGATTCAGGAAGAAAATTCATGATCTGTCACTCCAGTTTAGGGAAAATGGAAAGTAAAACTTGCAAGAAAAATCTTGCTGGGCCACCAAGGAGAAATAGAAGTGCTTAGATTTAGTGTTGCTGTATGAGTGAGAAAAAGAAGCTAAAACCCAGGCTCGGTGCACATTTCATGAGTCAGAAGCTGTAATCTGAACCAGCTGGGGCTATTTCATTTTCCCACAATAGGGGGATAAAAATAAATGAAATAAAAGTCAGTGAATCCTGGGGAAAAGGTTTGAAATGCTACTGTGTAAGATCTAAGCTGAGAAAACCACAGGATCTTCTGCGTTTTTTGCCTCCCTAGGATGCTGTTTCTGTGCTTCTTTTAAAGAATGTGTTCTTTTTTCAGGAGTGGCGAAGGCCAAGCCTTTCCGCAGGAGGAGTTAAAAAATGGAAGGTAGGAAAAGTTTCTTTGGGGATGGGAGAGGTATGGCTTTCATTGGAATATAACTTCTTTGCAGGCTTGACCAACAAATGACCTCTTTTAAAGCTCATGATTGATAATGAACTTAATGAACTATTTGATGAATATTCAGTCTAATGACACATCTGCAAGGCTTTTGAGTGCACAGCGTATGGAAATGCAACAGTGGGGTGGGGTGGGGTGGACTAAAACAATGATGTGCCGAAAACCAGGAGAAAGTCGAAGTATGACTGATGAATAAAAGTACCAGGAGTCGGGACGTGACCTTCTATTATCAGAACTGCCCCAAAACAGCTAGAGTCCTCCCTGAATCGTTTTCTAAACTTGAAACAATATTCCGTGGCAAGATTGATGAAAACCAGCTGGCCAGAGTCTAATGCTTTCGGGAGACAATGTGTATGCCATTAGACTGAATATTCATCATATAGTTCATTAAGTCCATTATCCATCAAGAGGTCATTAGTTGGTCATACCTGCAAAGAGGTTACAATCCAATCAAACATGGATTCTTTCTGGGTAAGTTTGCCCTTGGTTTCTGAATATCCGAAGTAGCCTTCCAACAACCAAGCATGTAAGTGTGTACAGTATATAGAGAGAGTTCAAGAGCTTTTCTTCTATAATTTGTTATTTCATTTCTAGCTCTTTGCCTGCTACTTCTTGCTATCTTTTCCGCATTAAAATGTCTATCTGGAATCAAGATGACCTTTGGTAACAGTCGATTACTAATTTAGATAACCTTTCTGCTGGTATTTGTTGGGAAATCATGCTGATCGGTGATGGAACCAATTAGTCGTGCTGGAACTGAAAAATGTATTAAAGGGACAACTGTATGCAAACTTTCATTCAATACATCTATGCAATTGTTGCATGGTATATTGTTGCCTTCTGCAGTGATTGTCCCCCCACCCCACCCCCGCCACCAAGGGATAAAGATTCTGAGAAAGGAGGAAATCCATATCCCCCGCTTTCTCCTCCCAAGGCTGGCCTTTAGAAGTTTGCTTAAGGATTATGAGAATAAGGTATGCATATCCTTGGAAGCATTCTAAAAACATTGTGCACACTGAAAAGAATAATACTCCATTTCTCTAGGATGATTACATGTGAATGGCACTAAGGAAAAAAACCCACTTTTCTCTCTTTTGAGGGGCTTGTAACCATTGTCTTCCACAGCAAATGGTGATAAGCTCAAAATGATGGTATGTGCATGCTGACATCATAAGCAAATGTCACTCTTACACCCTAGTGTCCTGGCATCTGATGCAAATACATGAGTTGCATTATTTTTAGTTTATTTTAACTTACATACAGGTAGTTCTCACTTAACAACCGTTCGTTTAACAACAGTTCAAAGTTATGACGGTCTCGGAAAAAGTGCTTTACAACCTGTACTCACATTTATGACTATCGCAAATCACAGCACCATCCCAGCCGTCATGTGATCACGATTTGCGATCTTTTTTACGATGGTCGTTAAGCAAGTCACGGTTGTTAAGTGAATCATGTCATTAAGCAAATTCTGGCAAAAGTCTATTGGAGAAGCTGGATTCATATAACAACTACATGATTCACTTAAGGACCTCAGTAATTCACTTAACGACTGTCATAAAAATGGTCATAAAATCGGGTCTGGTCATGTAGTGACTTGCTTAACGACCAATTTTCTGGTACTACTTGTCGTTAAATGAGGACTGCCTGTATTTTTTCCATTTATATATGCCTAAGCTATTATGGATGAGCCATTTTGTGTATTGGTGAAGGCACCAGGCTAGAAACCAGAAGACTCTAAATTCTAGTCCTGTCTTAGGCACAAAGCCCACTGGGTGACCTAGGGCCAGTCCCTCTCTCTCAGCCCCAGGAAGGAGGCAGTGGCAAACCACTTCCAAAATCTTGCCAAGAAAACCACAGGGACTGGTCCAGGCAGTCAAAAACTGACTCAAGGGTGCCCCCTCCCCAAAAATCTATTATGGACTCACAGCAGTTTATAGTAACAATCAACAATAAAAATGTCTGCAGTATATAATCAGTAGTTAAAATCATAAAAAAGACTAAGCGATCATTGATCAAATAATATAACTATCATCTTGACTTTCCTGACAAGCCCACCCCTCATGGACATCACTGACAAGGCCATTCATAGATATAATGGGCTCTACCTGCCAATAGCTCAACTACCATATTGCATCGGTGGCCTCACATGTGTCTTTATGTGCACTCTTCCTGATGATGCCCATTCTTCTATCAACCCCAGAAAACCCCTTCTACCAACCCCTTCAGCCTGCAAACTTGTTATAATTCTTGAGAGTAAAGTAAGAATTGGAAAATCGCTGTATATGATTCGGGCAGAACTCTTATTTTAATGGTTCCATATCCTAAAAAAAAAAAATTAAGTGCAGTTTTATGGACTGATACAATCTACAGAACATAAGAACGCAAGATCATGAAGTTGCTATGCGCGCAATGTTCAGTATCTTCTTTTCCAGGCTAGTCTAGAAATTGGGCATTGCTCGGATGTGTTGGGATCGAGCTGCCCCATCACATAGCCCCACCAATCTCACTGATCTTCTGTGCTGCCATGAGTGTGCAAAAGTGGGTGTGTGTTCATGCACACCTGATGGGGAGACTCAAGAGTCTGGTTTACCACTGAAGTGAAGTCTAAGCCAGGCTGGCTAGCATTTGGGATGGTTAGCTGCCCAGGAATTCCAAAGGGTGCCACCCGATTGGTAGGTTAACCTTAGGGGTTAAGTCCCATTCTACACAGAAGTTATGTATTCACAGATTAAATGTTCCTCGGTCCCAATGATTCTGGGCATCTTACAAAAATATAATCAGGTAACTCACCCCCAAAAAAGAAAATGATAAAAGAGGTCAGTCTCTTAAATGATCTGAGATACAAGGTAGATTTTGAGCGTCCTCCTAAATTGGAATTAAGAGAAGCTGTGTCAACTCAGCATCTGTTGTGGGAATAAAATTTGAAGAGAAATAGTATTTTTGCCATAATCAACTTCTAGAGGAAAGGTGAGATTGCAGAATATCACCAATCAAAGGAAAATTAAAAAGATCATACTTTCTTTCGCAGTTCTTTGGAGGAGGGCTTATTTAAGATAAAAAATAAAGCTCTTTTATTATTATTTTTTTAATTAGAGCATAAGTAGGCGTAACTGGGACGCAGCCAGAGATCTGCAGAAATACAGGCGGCATTACCCGGTAAGATTTCCTGGGCATTATGGCTGCATTGATTGAGTTTCTGCCTAGAGGGGTGTAATAGACATTTGGATTCCAAATGCCTGTTAATTTTCGTTGTTGTTTTTAACTGTTTTTCCCTTTGCTTGTTGATTATACACTGCCCTGAGTTGCAGTTATTCACGTTGGGTGGCCATATATATTAAAAAAAAAAAAATTGTGTATGCTTTTTCCCCAAGCACAACTTGAGCGTCATAAGATACTTCATTGGGACCAGTGAAGCTATTCAGGGTGCATAAGAAGGAATAAGAGCTTGAGAATGGGACAGAAAAGATTTATGGGTGCAAGCAGTCCTTCAGATCTCCTGATACTGGGTTTAATTGTTCATGGATCAGTAATACACCTATTTGCTTATCATCTCCCTTCTGTTGATACCTTCCTCTCTTTATCTTCCAGGGTTTGGAAGAAACTGAGCTCAATGAGGAAGATATGTGGAATCTGAGCTTTTACAAAAATGAGATTAATTTTTTGCCCCGGGGTAAGGCAAAACTTTTGAAACTGCTTGGCTTTCTAAGGGAAATGGTGAGGATCATAATTAATTTTCCCTGCTGGCCCTTGACATGGCAATACATAGCATTTAGTTCATGGCCAGCCGGCCTGACTTCCTTCCTTCTTTCCTTCCTTCCTGGGGTTCATTGAGGTGAACCAGAACCATGGCTAGGCAGTATCTTTATTAGGAGCAACCAAAATGGGCAACAGAATTAATTTCTCCAGAACTTTTCATCAGGCAAACTATTAAAAGAAAAAGGAGATGGGACAGATGTAATAAAGTCTAAAACCCAACTGATACAACCAAAAGGTCTATAGATCAAACTCAGGATGTAGATTTGCCCCCAACTGCCACTCCAAAGAAAACGTTTGCTGTAGATGCACCCCATATATCAGCTATTAAGTTGCATACCTTTTCTGGCTTCCCATTAAATGGCTGATGTATTTTGCCTACCAGTCATTTTTCAGGTTGGTAGAAAGCAACATTTCCCACTCATATTGGTTGCTACCTAGTGTAAGGACATCTGCACCCATAAGCCAACTGAAGAGCCCCCACTAAGAACGGCTGCTAGATAAGAGACACTTCAATCTGGGAGAGACACAGATCAAATGGAGCATAGGCAAGAATGCATACAGATATCTATGATATGCTTACTCTGGGCACATGAACAATAGAGAAATCAGAAGGTTATCTAGTCAAAAGCTGGAGTCCTGTTCAGCTGTTGTTCATCTAAACGCACAAGTAAGGTATGAGTAAATGAACCCTAGCTTTTCCTCTAACATTCTCAACTACTTTGTATATAGAGAAGGAGGATAAAGAGGATCTACAAGAAGTTCCACTCATGAAAACAAGAAGAACATATTGCATGAACAGGCATCTTGATAAAACAGGACCTCCCTCTTGTGTGGAGGATTCTGCTTAAGAAGCCAGATGTTATGAGCTGAACAAATTAAGTAAATTATGTTGGGTTTGGTTATTGGAACATTGGTACCCTGTTAGATAGGTGTGGTGGGAGGACAAATCGAAGCCCTTGAAGGTGTGTTGGTGCTACCTGGCAGCTGCCTAAAATCAAAATGATTTCCTCCCAGAATGGTTTCCCTAGAGATTTTTTTAGTAAGATTTATCGTGATGAATGGGATGGGGTTCCAAGAATTCCAGCAACTGAACTATTTCCCATTTAGATCCAGTATTGTACATTGAAGCATAGACTGATTTTCTTTCTAACAGCCTTCCTATGATCTGGTAAGGAGGCAGATCTTTTCATTGATAAAGTGTTTACAGCTGGCAGTTGACACAAGCAAGTCCATTAAATCTGTATCAGTCTGGAAACCCAACTGTTACAGTCTGCCTCTTGTTCCTTGAAACTGGAGAATTGGTTAACTGGGCAGGGGCATCCATGGGGTCAAAAAAAATCAAGATGGCAGACATTACCAAAGCTGTGTCTCTTTCACAGAGATGAAAAAGGGACAGGACTTTGGTCATAATCACCATCATGACCTTTTTGACCCACCTGTACTTTTGCAGTGTTTTCAAGGTCTCCCAAAGGTGGGTTAGAAGCATCTATTTTTATTTATGGTTTGTGGGATTATTTTTAAATAATCTTTTTAGCAAAGAGTTGAACTTAACAGACATGACATGATTTCAGAAGGCTCACAAACCAAGTCTAGACTTGAGCCCCCAAAATTACTTGTTCATGTATAGAATTTCTATGACCACCTATCCTATACACAATAATCCTAGGCACCTCACAACAACAGCCAATTAAAAACAAAGATAAAAACAATAATGTCCCACCTTACATCACTCTTCCCACCATGGTGCCACAAGATCCTGTCCACTCCATATTTGTTGGGTTCACACCCATCCTAGCCCAGTGCTTGGGGGAAGAACCAGGTTTTCATGGCCTTCCAGAAGGGTAAAAGGGTGGGAGTCCAATGGATCCCCTATTCCACAGGGCTGGGGCAGCTTTGGAGAAAGTACACCTCTTAAGTCCCACCAGATGACAGCATATAAGAGGAGGGACCTGGAGTCCACCCACCCTATCCAACCTGGGGGGACGGGCAGATGCCCTCAGGGAGAGGACGTCCTGCAACTAACTTGGCCCAGAGATAGAATTAAGAGTATAATTTTCTCTCCCTCTTTCATAGCTGCAGACAAATGCATATAGTTTTCTTTCTGTAACTAGAAAACAATGATTAGGAATAATTTCACCTGATGGTGTTCACTCTGGGGTGTTTGTAGTTCAAGTGAGCTTTGCAAACTGTTTGTTTGTTTTTTAATCTTTCTTGGCCTCCTAAAATCAGTATGAGAATCAGCAATGGAGAATAGTCATAGTAAGCCACAGATTCCCAGGCTAAATTTGCCCTAACTAGGAGGAAGAATTGTACTTCCAAGGACAGATGACGTCTGGCAGTGTAATGGAAGGCATATACGAGGAGGATACTGGAATGGAAGATCAAGGCTATCAGGAAGGAGGGAGTGCATTCCAGGAGAGGGTACAAGGCAAGCGCTTTCTCAGCCCGCAACAAGACCGTGAGAACAAGAAGAAGCTGGGGCTAGCCCCTCCCTAGGGTCTCATGGGGTATATCTACTAGTTACTTTAGCATAGGTTTAGTCTGGCGAGATTCTGTCTACAGGGTGTAAGCAAATAAAGAGACTGGACTGGACTGGACTGTCTTATCGTTGTTCTTGGGCTGAGCCTGACAGGCAGGGCTTGTATGGTAAAGTCCATACTAAGAACTGGGTAAAACCAAGGTCTCATTCCAGTTTGGCTTATAATTCTGAACTTCACTTCCAAGATGTAGAAGGTGGTACTTTTATATTTGTAAAGGTATTTAGAGAGGACCTTGGAGAAGGTATGAAAGTGCCATTAAGGAGGGACTTGGACCACAGATTACTCAGTCCAGAAATAGAACCAAGTGTGAGAAAGAAACTCAAAATCCCACCTTGATTTTGTTTGGTGTCAGATGGGACAAGAGAAAAACTCGGATAGGCTTTCAGGATTCTGTTATTCTACCCTACATTAAAGTAGGATTCTTGAAATCCCTGTAGAGTCTACTTTTTGACTTGGCCTGCTTTGAATGGCTGGTAAAATCAGAGTTGTCTTTCCGTGGGAGTTGATGCCCTCATGACTTACTCCCATTTTCTTGCCCCCTGAAGAATATTCTATTTTGTAGCCTATCTTAACATTTCTACTCATTCTTCCTCCACAATCATTCATGCATATGTCATTTTCCTTTCCTGCTTCTCCAAGGTCTCTACATTGAAGATCTCCTTGAGACGTGGCAAGATAAGTATGAAGTTTTGGAAGAAAACCATTCATATATTCAATGGTAAAATTATCTGCTCCTGTGTCATTGTTTCATGTAAAAAATATTGTGGGGCCCAGAAACATTCTTAGAAATAAAAATGCTAGAAACAGGCACTTTGCTGTATGACATGTCAGTTTCCCAATTATTTATTTTTTAGAAGAAATGTGTTTCTCAGGCATGGAGCTTGGTGGGTGGCAAGCATTCCTCCAGAGCAGTGTTGCTCAACCTTAGTAACTTTAAGATGTGTGGACTTCAACTCCACGGAATCCCCACCAAGCAGAGGTGGGTGGGGGAATCTGGGGGTTTAAGGTCACACATCT